CACCACAACGAGCAGCACCTGGCATGGCACGAGCTGGGGCGAGCCCGGCGCGAGCTGAACGGCCAGGAGGAGGCGCGGGTGAAGAGCAAGCAGGTGGCGGCCCTGGCGCGGTTCGTGGCTGCCTCTCGTCATCGATCCTTCGGTCGCAAGGCCTAGGCCTGCGCTCGGTGGGGCTAGTGAAGGGGGAGGGGTTGACTATGTTGTCTTGTGTAGAGGCCCGCATAGGGCAGGCCTCAGCGCATGTTTTGCATAGTGTCGACAATATACAGATTCTTTTTATTTTCCCAAGCCAAGTTCCCAATTGTCGACGTATTTTGGTATTTTGGTATTGGTCGGCGCTTTAACTGCCGAGCCAATCAAACAGGTGCAGCTCTTTTCCAGGTACTGGAGGACTCACAATAAATGCGGGGCGAAGAGGCACCACCACTCTACCCCCTTGAGTGGCCTCCAGCGATGAAGGAAGAGACCAAACCATCAGCCACCAAGCAAGCAGCGTCCCAGCACAAGCCTGGGGTGAGTGTGAGTATACCCAAGACTCAGGTCTTCACAGAGCTCTCCAACGGCAAACCCTACATTGTACGTGCATATGGATGTGTTTTGCTTTATGTTTTCTGACATCAACATATCTGTTGCATGTGGTGTATGGTGCAGGTGTTTGAAATTCACTTCTTCATAGATGGCGAGGTGGTGCATGTGTCCCGCCGGCGGTACAGCTCGCTCAAGGTGATCCACGAGGAACTGCAGAAGGCTCTGGGCAAGGGCTCGTCAACCACCCTGCCCGCCTTCCCCTCCGCCAACCACTTCAAAAACTACGCCAAGCCACCCCACACCGAGGCGCGACGACTGAAGCTCGTTGGGTGTGACAACCACCCATCCTTTTGATCTGTCACCCTTCTATTCTTCTGTCATTCGTATCACCATCACCACCATCAACATCAACGTCAACATCAAGATTAACATCATTCTCGTTTTTTTTAATGCTGGTTGCTGCAGGTATCTCAACGCGCTGGTTCAGGAGCCGGCGGTGCTGGTGCTGCCACACTTCCACAAGCTCTTCACCATGGACCACCCTGCGGTGACCGCGATGCGATCAGCCGCCGGGCAGCTACTGGGCGAGGTACCCACGACTCCCACGCCCCCCCCCAATGACGTGGCGGTCACGCTGACGTCACTGCCCCATTTGGTTGGCCCAACTTAACAGAGGCGAGCACGGGACGAGGAGGTGCGACGGGCCAGGGAGGCCACGCTGCGCCAGGCCAAGGCCGACTGGCACTGGGCGCAGACGTTCGTGACGGGGGCGCCGGTGATCGAGCTGGACGGGGTGGCGATGCGGGCGCACGTGCCACTCACCTACGACCGCCCCGTGGCCTTCACCATCCAGGAGAGGGAGCAGGCCCTCGGGGACATGACCATTTTCGGTACATAGAGATATATATACAGTATATATAGATATTACAACATTTCTAGTATCATGACTCATCTATATATACATAATATATATATATTATATTGCAGGTCCCGGTGAAGAGCCGTGGTTCGAGGCGCCGCGGATGGACCGGTCTATCGTCAACTTTGGCGGGAGCGAGTATGGCATCTTCAACATGAAGGGAGAGCAGCTGATGTCGCTGGAGAAGATTCCGTCCAACCAGAACCGCTACGAGATCTACCACGTGGTGAACCCCGCCGAGGATCGATCGGAGAAGGCCCTGGTCAAGATCGCCTCCGTCACCCGAGTACGGCCGACCCCAAACCTTACCGTCCACCAACACGAATGATGATGATAATTGTCCAATGACTGAAACAACGCGAGTGCAGGGGTCCGCGGGGTTACTCGGTGTGTTCGGCCACGAGATTGTGCTCGCCGATGGCGCAGGTACCACGACACGCACACGACCTACGACACGCACGCACGCACACACACGCACACAAAGGTGATTGCTCACCTTGGGCATCGCAGTGATTGAGTACAAGGGAGCCTCGTTCGGTAACGAGGCCACGTTGCATGCCGACGGTGTGGTGGCATCGAAATTCACGAGAGGGCGCACCCGAATTAGAGGCGTGGGTATGCAAACGACGCACGACACGACACGAGCGCAAATCATGAATGGTGCTGATTGTGGCAAACAACAACAACAACGACAGGGAATGTCGGGTTGGAGGTACAGGCGGGCCACGATGTGCTGCTCCACCTGGCCATCACCATCTGCATCGAGAAACTTCACAACGACTGGGCCCGACCAGAGGCAAAATAAATGAAACAAATAATAATCTCTCTAATATATGGATTTCCATATTGTTTGACAAATATGCAAAATGTCAAGCGTTGCACAGCAAACATGTTGTGTTACGAATGTTTGTGGGTTTGTGCGGGGTCAGTAGAAGCCCCGGGTGGGGTTGGCCCTGACGTAGCGCTCGTCGGAGAGTGCGCACGTCCACGCGCTGGGCAGATGGCTCGGGAGGTGCCAGTACGGCCTGGCCGACGGCTGCCTCTGGAGCCAATTGAAGGCAGCCACCACGTGCTCCTCCCTCGTGTCCCTCTCCTCTGCGTGTCGTGTGAGTGTCGTGTCGTGTCGTGTCGTGTGAGTGTCGTGTGAGCGTCGTGTGAGCGTCGTGTGAGCGTCGTGTCGTGCGTCAATGCCAGATCTTAACAGTTTGCACAGGGAAAGTGAAGGAAGGAAGTGTGAGACCGTCGGTCTCGTCGTCGGCCATGGTGAAGGCCGTCACAACGATGATCACCGGGCCGGCATAGTACGGGCAGTGGTGGTCAGGGCTAATGAACAGCGGAAGCTGAACAGCACCACACACACACACGCACGCACGCACACGCACGCACACACACACACACACACAATGTGATAAGAGCGACGTGAAGGAGGCGGCGTGGTTGGAATCGATCAACGAACCTTGAGACGCTCGCGAATGCTGGTGATGTTGGTGACGGAGGTCGGGTTGACCAGGTGCAGGTTGACGCACAGGCCCTGCTCGTACTGGCCCTTGCCCTCGCCCAACAGCCCGTGGAACTCCCTGAACACCTGTCGCGCGCGTGTCGCGCGTGTGTCGTTGTGTGCGGTCGTGCGGTGAGTGCGTGCGGTGTCGTGCTTCGAAGATGTATACCTGTTCCTGGTAGTCCGGGTCGTCCATCATCTCGCAGTCGATGACGTACACCAGCAGCAGGTGGTAGTGGATGTAGTGCTCCTTCGTGAGCGTGAGCCCCCGAAACATGTCGTCTTGCTGGCCCCACCAATTCCTACCGGGGGGAGGGGGCACCGAGCATCAGCACCACCACGCACGACACGCACGACACGACACGCGCGACATAGGAAAGACGCATTCAACAGTTGAACCTGGGGCGGCGTAGGACGCAAAAGTTGACGGCGCCCTGGCGCCTGATCGACGTAACGGGAACATCGACCTTGATCAGTCGGCACTCACCTGCGATGTTAGCGGATCCCACGACGCCGAATCAGCCTGGCCCTCCTTACTGCGTGCGTGCGCGTGTGTGCTGTGCGTGCGCGTGGCGTGCGTTCGCGTTTGGTGGAACGCTGCGTGCGTGCGTGCGTGCGCTGTGCGTGTGTGTGCGTGACGTCACGTGCGTGCGCGTTTGGTGGAACACGGTTCACCTGTGGGGCTGATGACGTCGATGCGCGGACTGATCCCGGACTTGACCCCGACTGCCACAGGGCTCAGCGCGACCCCAAAAAAAGATGTGGCAATGTCAGCCTCAAACAAACCACGAAGCACGCTCACGGCCACACAGTGCGTACAGAGATTGGCTTTGAGGATGTCGGCGATGGCCGACAGACGCGCGAACGAGGTGTGGCCGGCCACAAGGTACGCCGCAACGCAGAGCCCTCGCCACTCGGTCACCATCACATGCATTCTGCACTTACGTCAGCATAATTCGAATTCCATGCATTCCTGCGGTGCGTACGGGGCATATACCGCTTGTAGGCGCTCTTCCAGCCGCCCTGACCCTGCTGCTGCACAAAGGCCAGGAGCCGACCCCGCATGCCGCCGCCGCCTCCCAGCTGGTGGTGGAAGGCCTCGAACAGGCCCACGGCCGGCTGCTGCAGCCACTCGTTGGGCTCCGGCTCCGGCACTCTCTGTGCGTGCCGTATCATTGGCCGTGCGTGTCGTGTGCGTGTCGTGTGCGTGTCGTTGGTCGTGTCGTGTCGTGCGGTGGTGAGGAAGAAGGAACGCACATCGTAGGGGTGCGGGCCGGCGTCTTCGCCCCAGAAGTCGGTGCCGAAGTGGCGCAGGTAGAGCGCGGCCCAGATCACGTCGCTCTCGGCCTCTCGCGCCATCCGCTTGCAGGTAAGCGCCACCTGGCGGCGCCAGGACCACAGCACCGTTGGTTGAAGAGGAAGGGGAAAAAAGACAGGTTTGGGGGGGGGTAAGGCACACATGTATCACGTCGCGAGGGGGCAGGTGGAGTAGCACACACGCCCGCACGTTCTCGTCCAAGCTCGCCCACCACTGCCCGGCAGCTGTCGTCTGTCCCATCTAGGTGTGCAGGAAAAGCTGTGCTGCCTTTTTCATTTTTATCTTCCCTTTATTTGTCTCAAAAATAAAGAGGCCCAGCGTAGCGCCAAAAGATAAAGATGGACGAGTCGAGTAGGATTTCGATACCGGGAGTGATATTGGCAGCCCTGCTGCACGACATGGAGGGCCACTCGGGCGACCTGGTTCTTCCCTTCCACTCTTTTGCTCTGCTGTGCATTTTGTTGATTGTTGCGCCTCCCCCCCTCAACAAAAGGAGGGCTTCTTGTTCGGGTCCACCACGCGCCACGTAGTAGACAATGTAGAAGATGCCGAGCTCGGCGTACAAGAGGGCAAGACTCGGCTAGGTGCATAAATAATATTATTATTATTTACTATTTACTTGTGTGTTTATTTATGTATTTATTCATTGATTTTTTGATTGATTCTTTGTTTTATGGGCGAGCAGCCATCCAGGCCTTCGTGTGCACAGGGCGCCCGTTTAGCTTCTACGATCAGCTGGGCCGAGTGGTGCCCGACCAGCTGCGCGCCTTCTGCGCAGATCGACCCCACCACGTACGCTGTGCTTTTCTCGGCCTCACGATGCGCCTTGGCCTCACCCCGCTCACTCCACAGTCGCTCATCGGTTGGTTCAAGTTTCGACGGAACACGCCGCCCCGCCTGTCGGCGAGAGAGCTGGAAGTGCACGCCCAGCTGTGCCAGGTACACACACACGACATACACACGAGAGAGACGATGACGATGATGATGAGAGATGGCAACCAGCAGCAACCCGCTGACGTCTCTGACGTTCGCACAGCTGTACCAAAAAGAGCTCAACAAGGACCGGGATCTGAAGCACTTTGGATTCGTGATGGGACTGTTCACGTCGTTCAAGGCGGCGGAGATCATCTCCTACGACTATCGCTTCGTGCAGATCGACGGCGAACGGTACGTTGGTTGGTTGATTGGTCTCATTGATGGGCGAAAATGGCGCTCACACGAGTGTATGTGTCGTGTGCGTCCGCTCGGCTGTCACCAGACAAATGCGACCAATACAGCTGGAGGTCATCAACATAGAGCACAGCCCGCAGCAGGAATACGCGTCGTTTGCTCCCGTAACCGATTTGTACGCGTCCTCGGGACATCATACTACTTCCGTAGCGGGCCACCTAACGTGCCGTGTTGTCGTCTTCATTGCAGCTCCACCACCCTGAGCGCAGCGCTGAATCCGGTGCGGGATTCGGTCAAGCTGATGGACAACCTCTTCGACGCCTCCATGCGAGAGCTCAAAGTGCGGCTCTCTCCCTCCTCTATTGTTTACATGTTATTTTTTAATGACAACCCGGGCGATCACAGAGCGTGGCGCTGGAGGTGCACGAAAGCACGAAGGAGGTGCGAAAGCTGGAACGTGAAATCGAAGAGCTCAAGCGGAGCCTCGGACAAGCCACCACGCCACGGCCGCTGAACGCTTCCTTCGGTACGGCCTTCAACACTTCTCTCCAACCCTGGCTGCGCCCTCCCCTTGCCCCATCTCTGGCTCACCTCGTCACGCTCTCACCGGCCCGTGCAGGCAACTGAGGCACACGCCAAAGACGGCTACTTACCTGGATGAACGTGTGTGTATCACATGTATAGACATGCTTGCGCAATGGCACTGATGGCGTTGTGCAAACATCTTCATGGAGTGTACAACATGGTGGTGTGAGCAAGTGCGCGATTTGTGCACAAATCAAAGCCAGCGAAGCCGCCACCTTACAAGGAGCGGAGGAAAAAGAACGGAAGCCGGAGGCGCGAGGAGCGGACCGCGGCAAAGACGTTGCGGCCGGGGCTTGGGTATTTTCTTTCCTTGCTTCGTTCCGTCCAGCACATCTCTCACTGCCTCGCAATCGCCCATTTCCAAATCGCCTCCGCACACATCAACACTACACACATCACAACAATGGGAGACAAGGTGAACCCCAAGGCGTACCCCCTCGCTGACAACCAGCTGTCCATCCAGCTGCTCGATCTTGTCCAGCAGGCGACCAACTACAAGCAGCTGAAGCGCGGCGCGAACGAGGCCACTAAGACCCTCAACCGCGGTATCTCCGAGCTCATCATCATGGCTGCTGATGCTGAGCCCCTCGAAATTTTGCTCCATCTGCCCCTCCTCTGCGAGGACAAGGTACACCTCCCCTCCCGAGGCAATGATGCAATGGCTTTCACTTTCGTGGACATTGCCTGAGCTTCGGCAAATTGATTAATTCCCATTCTTCTCTCCATTTCTTTCTCTACTCCTACTTCCCATTCATTCAAAAGAACGTCCCCTACGTGTTCGTCCCGTCGAAGGCCGCTCTCGGACGCGCCGCGGGAGTGTCTCGCCCCGTGATCTCCGTCTCTATTACGACGAATGAGGGCTCGCAGCTCAAGACCCAGATTAACAACATGAAGGACGCTGTGGAGAAGCTCCTCATCTAAGCGGTCTCTCTGCTAATACACTCATCCACTCCGATCATTCATTTCTTCGCATCTGAGAGGTGCCCAACTCAAAAATCACATAAAAATCAGAAAATTCAAAATCCTACTATCAATTTTCCTTCATCTTGTCTCGTACGCAAGAGAGCGCCCGTCCTTGAGTGTCAGCGCGTTGTGGGCATTCAATCATGCAATCTCGTAGATGGAGAACACGTCTTAGTGGGCGTGGTCGACAAATACTTGAAGAAGAAAAGGCAGAGGTGCGTCGTAGGAAAGGCAAAGAAGAGAGCCTCAACTGTCCTTGGTTGAGTGTACTGCCATGGAACTGCTGTCAGACGGTCAGGACGTGGGCTTGGAGTCGTCACAAGATGACGGCGCCCAACAAACAGTACAGACAACAAAGCCAATCATGAATCCCGCCACCAATCTCTCCATCAGCAGACAGAGCAGGAGTGCTTCTGTCGAGGCCACCACACACCCGCTCGAAGAGGATGAAGAGGTGCACACCTCCAACAGGCCAACAGCTTCTCCATCTTATGAAGGGGGGGCATGAAGCTACTCCTCTCTGCACGCCCTTTGCTCACCATCTTCACCCAACGACACGCAGGGCGCGCGGTCGCCACCCCCGCCTCGTCCCACCCCCAGCACACGACACGATGCCTCGGTCAAGTGGAAGTGGGCCTCGTCCATGCTCGCTCTGGCCTCCATGGTGCGTACTCACCACCTCCCGCTCTGCACATAAAAATTTGGATTTGCGAGTAGAGCCTCTCGAGATTGAACTGCTTCGTGTCGTGTTGTGTTGTGTGTCGTGTACACAGGAGGCGGCCACGGAGGGGAGCAGCGAGTTCGAGGAGGCCAGCCTGGCCAGCAAGCGCAAGCAGTTCCAGCAGGCCAACGACAAGTTTGCCGAAGGTACGTAACATACACACAGTGCGTACGATGCCCCCCCCCATTGAGGCTTTCCTAACGAGCTTACGCGGCCGCATGTGCAGCGGCGCGCATGGTGGGCTGGGGCGGAGTGCAGCGCGAATGGGGCGTCTGTCTCATGAGGTGGGCGCTCTGGGAGGTACACGCACCACACGCACCACACGCACCACACAACTAACTCAAAACTCCAATCTCTCGCGCGCAGATCAGGGTGCTGCAGAACAAGGAGCGGCTGACGCTCATGAAGGAGCAGGACAAAGAGCGCGAGCGGATACGAAGCCTCAGCTTCGCCTACGGCACCGAGGGCTGGGATCCACACCGGCGCGAGGCCGACTTTGTCACCATCAGCCTGGGCGAGTCGTCCGCCGGGCTGCAGCAGAAGCGCGAGGCGCTCGCCCACCGGCCCCACCGGGCCGCGACGACCGGCGACGACACCAACAACCCCACAGCCGGCGCCGGCGCCGACGTCGGCTTGGACGGCGGCGCGGTGGCCTCGCCGTCGCGGGTGCGCAGCAGGACCAGTGCGGGGGTGCGCGAGGAGTTTGACCGCGAGCCCGCGACGCCGCCCAAGCCCCAGGGGGGCTTCCTCTCGTCCCTGCTGCGCCGGGGCAGCTCGGTCATCTCCTCCTCGCTCTCCTCGCTGGCCATGGCCGTACCATCATCGCCGCCATTCCCATCGCTGCCGTCATCTCCTTCGTCGTCGTCGCTACAGCCAACGCTGCCGCCGCCGGCGGACATATTCGAGCCCTATCCGCCGGCCACGACACGGCACGAGGTGGAGGAGCTGGCCAGGCGCCACGAGGATCGCGTGCTGTCGACGAGAGGCCTTCGTGGTGGCAACCGCCCGCCGGCGGGTGGCGCGGCTGTCGAGGAGACGGCCTACAGGGAGCGGGACTTCACCAAGGAGAGCGAGGAGATGCAAATCGCCAGCACCATCGAGAGCCTGTTCGAGCAGGCCTACGAGAAGTTCAGCCTCGGTACCGCACGACACGCATATGACACGACACACGACATAACGACACACAATGACACTCGCGCAACACGACACACGCGCAGGTGAAAAACTGTACACGGAGGAGATGAACAGGCTCAGCCTGCTCCAGGAGATCGAGGTGAAGAGCGGCAGCTCGGGCGAGGAGAGCGGCGCCTATGACTACCGTCGGGTGCCCACCGACACCGCCGCCCGAAGCGACGACGACAATGACGACAGCGCCGGCTACGACGACGACCACGACGTCGACGTCGACGGGGAGCAGAACCAGGAGGTGGTCGGGCGGCCCGCGGAGCGGCGGCGGTAAGGGGAAGGAGAGGGACGAGGAGCCCAACGAAGAAGAGGAGGAGACTGGGGAGGGGGAGGAGGTGCCGGGTGAGGCCGAGGCGCTGGACAACCCGGCCATCCAGGAGGAGGCGGCGCAGACCTACGAGGGGTCGAGGGAGCGCAACGCCAACATGGAGAAGTTCTACTGCCTGCTCCTGGTGGAGTGGGGCGAGAGCATGCTCAACCAGGCACGCCCCCATCAGCCCCCATGCACATGTCTATGTCGCTATACATTTACACATCATTGCGTGTGTGTGTGTGTGTGTGTGTGCGTGTGTGTGCGTGTGTGTGTGTGTGCGTGTGTGTGCGTGCTCTGTTGACTTATCGTGATCAACCTCGTCGTTCGTGCGTGATTGGGCGTCATGCAGGCCAAGTGGGAACACGATGACCTGTTGCTGGAGGCGTCGGCGGACTTGACCGAGCAATCGCCGGCCGACCTAGGTACGTCGCCCGCCAACACGCACGACACGCACGACACGCACGACACGCACGACACGCACGACACGCACGACACGCACGACACACACGACACGGGAAAGAGACGGCATGGCATTTTGTACTTCGTGGTTCGACCAACCAACCAACGTCGTTTGCTGTTTGCTCGCATTTCCCGCAGACGCATACGAAGAAGACATGAGGCATGCGTTCTCGCTCTATCAGACGGCCTGCCACCTCTTCTTCCGCGTACGCACCACATCAACACCGCACGACACGCACGCGCACACTCACATACATGGCGTGTGCGCAGGCCTACCGATGTGTAAATAGGTCCACGGAGATAGCTCCGGAGGACGAGAAGAGGCTCATGATCCAGTGCATCACCAAGTACGTCTCGCACGCGACCAAATGCAAACGCAAACGCAAACGCAAAATGCGTGGCTGCTAACATCGCGCTGCAGGTGGGCGCGCAGCGTGGACGGCATGCTGACGCTGAAGGAAGTCCAGCCGGGCGTGAGCGGCGACCACGCCACCGAGGAGGGCGAGGGAGGTGCGTCACACGCCCTTTCCTTCTACCTCCCCCCCTCGCAACCGCTGTGCACAGCGGTGGTCTTTGCCGTCGGCGTGGCCTCGCCCGTTGGGGGTGGTGGTCTGATTCGTCGCGACCACGCAGGATTTCACGAGATGGTGGACCTCTTCCTCGCCGCCTATTCGTCGAGGATGATGCAATATGGTGCGTGGCCCGACCCACATGTCGTACTTCATATTTATAACTATCAAATATATATATATATGAATATTTACAATTAAGTTGGTGGCTCATTCCGCGAATGCAGGGATGGGCGAATTCACGCTGGGTCCGCTGATCGCGATCGCCCTCAGCAAGGACCCGCACGCCGCCCAAGCTGGCAAGCAGGTGCTCAGGTACGCTGCGCGCGCTCTCGCTCGCTCTCTCTCCCTCTCTTCCCCGCGCGTGTGGTGCTTACCCGCCCATTTCCTCGTCAGCCATCTCTCTCGCGACACACTCGACGAGCTCCGCGAACAAGCCCAGGCACGCTTTTTCCCTCCCACGACACACGACACATACGACGCACACGACACACGACACACGCACGACCGCACGATCGCCCACGAACCACCGCACGCGCGACGCTAATGGTGCCCCCCCGATTATGCGGCCAACAGATGAAGCTGAGCATGATCGAGGAGATCAGGAAGGGCGAGGAGCAAACCCAAAGGGAGGGCATTCTCAAGGAGCTGAAGAAGCTGCCGCCCGACATCGTCGCCGAAATCCAGCGTAACCAATTGTCCCAGGTGCGTGTGCGGTCCTGCGTGTCGTGTGTCGTGCATGTGTGTCGTGTGCGTGTGCGTGTGTGCGTGCAATGCACTGATGAACAATGTAACACGGCCAGCAAGAGATAGTGGAGAACTACGACATCTTCCGCAACGCGCTGTGGTTCCGTACCCGCATCATGCTGGCCAGCCCGCTGGCCTCCACCATCTCCGCCTCCGTTCCGCCCTTCGGCCCCTCCGCCTCCTTCCTCCCCGCCTTCTCCGCCAGGTATCCATCTCGCTCGCTCGCTCGCCGTGTGTGCGGTCGTGCGTTGTGTGCGTGTGCTGACGTGGCAGGTCGACCGTTCTGTGCAGATACAAGCGAGTGCGGTTGGACAGCTGTCGCGCGAGAAGAAAGCAGCGGATGAAGAGGAGAAGGGAGCCCCGTACTGGCGAGTACGTCTCTCGTTCGTTCTTTGTCGCCTCTCAGCCAGCTGTCGTGTGTTCGTGTGTCGTGCGCGTGTCGTGTGTCGTGTGTCGTGTGTCGTGCGTGTGACCGCACACGCGCGAACTTGCCCTGATCAGACCAGCGACTGCTCTCCGCGCACGCAGGTCCGCAGCAGCATCGGCCGCCGCCGCCGAGGTCGAGGTCAAGCTGTTGGCCGAGAACCCGAAGAACCGATACACCCACTGGGAGGTGATCGGCCAGGGGTACGCCCCCCACTGACTGCGAAAGTCGCGACGCAACTGATGCCGTCCGTGGTTCGTGACTTTCGCAGTGCCTTTGGAGAGGTCTTCACCGCCAAGTCCGTCACACATCCCGATGAGCGGGTACGTGCGTGTCGTGTCGTGTCGTTGGTCGTGTCGTGTGTCGTGTGTTCTCATGGCGGCGGGTGGTGGGGTGGAGGTCAGGTGGCTATCAAGGTGATGCGGCGGCGCGACAAGCCCAACCGGGTGGCCGACCCCGAGAAGGAGCTCCGACGCGGCAAGGCCGAGATCGGTACTCCCCCCCCTCGCCCTCTTCCTTTGCACGAGCGGGCTGACGCGGCGATGACGGCCTCTTCTGCAGCGCTGATGGCCAAGTGCCGACATCCGAACATTGTGTCGCTTGTCGACGCGTTCCACTGGAACAACACCATATGGGTATGCACATAGACATATAAAATTTATATATATACACTCTCAAATATATCAATATGTTCCTGTTAATTAATGTCTGTATGGGTGCGCGCAGGTGGCAATGGAGTACTGCGACGGCGGCACCCTGCGCCAGTTCCGCCAGAAGGCGGACATCGACGAACCCGAAATCGCCTACATCTGTCGCGAGGTGCCCCATGCGTGTCGTGTCGTGTCGTGTCGTGTTGCGTGCGCATGAGCGTGTCGTGTCTGAACAGTGTGTGCAGATATTGAAGGGGCTGCAGTATCTGCACTCGCGCGGACAGATGCACCGCGACCTCAAGGGCGAGAACGTGCTGCTCAACCTCTCCGGCGAGGTCAAGATCGCCGACCTGGGCCTCGCGGCCGACGCCAAGACCGCCGCCGCGGCGGGCATCGCCGGCACGCCCGGCTTCATTGCCCCCGAGATGATCAAACGCACCGGCTACGACACCAAGGTGCGCGTCTTACCACCACTTTACCGCACACCGCACAACACACAACACAACGCAACACTCACCGAACCGAACCGCACGACGTTACAGTTGGATATTTGGAGCTTCGGGTGCCTGGTGATGGAGATGGTGGAGGGCTCGGCCCCGTACCGAGAGTTGCTGCCCATCAAGCGGCTGATGCGCACCGCCATCTCGGGCGCGCCTGGCCTCAAGGTACCGTCCTGCCCACCAGACAACATAAACATAAATAATATAAAAATTAAGAATTCTAAAAATTGAATATGTAGGATCCGGAGCAGTACTCGAAGGCGTTCCGTCACTTCCTCTCGTGCTGCCTCCAGACCGATCCCAAGCTCCGCTACTCGGCTGCTCAACTGCTCCACGTACTACAGCCCCATTTTTCTTTTCTTTGTTTCTCAACCCAGCCCACTAACAACTAACAAACCGTTCTCTGTGTGTCGTGTGCCGTATGTGCCGTGTGTGGTGCGTACGCAGCATTCGTTCCTGGAGCAGGCGATAGGGAAGGAGCGGATTGTGGGCCTGTTCTCGTACATCTTCGTGGGCGAGACGCTGGAGCTGACGGGCCTCATGTAAGCAAGCTGCCAGACGGCAGCTTCCCGCATCACCGCCAGCACCACGCCACGCCACGTCGTAGACTTTCTCCCCCTCTTCGTCTGGGCTTCGCCTCACTTTGTGGACCCAGGGTGCCCTGAGACGCGCTGTCGGCCTTGCACGCCAGGTCATTGCCGCGCTCACATGTTACGCCGGCGTGACCGCGTGTACGCGCCGTGCCATGCCCCATCACATTGATGGTGGTCGTGTGCAGCTGCAGGTCCACGCGCAAGGTTTCTATCATCACATGTACTATCTATCTCAGATCACAAACCCCCAACTCTTGCTTTGTCTGTGCGCACTCTTTTGTGGTCGTGTTGTTTACTCGTTCTTCTCTGGTGGAGGAGGGTTACTGTATAGCGGAGATCTCATCACACCATTGTTTTTCTGCAACCTCAAGGCCATTCGCCACAACTGAGCCTTCCACCCCACCTGTGCTGTGGGTTTGAATTGAACAGGTTAAATTCCACATGGCCACGCCTGGATCTCAAGTTGTCCTTGCATGGATCTGACATGCTGGAATATCTCATCTACAACCGGCTCGTGACCATAACTGTTGCAGACAGCGCCCTTGGAAAGGCACGTTTTGGCTCCATTTGGATAAGATGCCTAGACTCCATGGAGTTGAAACGTAGTGCCTGGCGGAATTTCTGCCAAATAAAGAAAAATGTCGACACACGCGAGCTTTCACACTCCTTTTCTCCTGCACCCCGCCGGCGAGAACGTGAAACGAACAGACAGCCGAGGAGAGGAAGAGAAGTC